GCAACATCCACGTAGTCATCATCATCGGGATCGGCCGTGATAATGAAGTCTGCGCCGCTACCGCTCTCGGGTGGTTGATCAAAAGTTAGGGAAAGATCCGCACCAATACCGGTAAGGTGCGAAGACACATTCGCATCGGAAGAAGGCATCATCTTTGAGCGCGTGTCGGAGGCCAGCTCGTTGCCCAGGATGCCATACTTCCGAAGATCGATGGCGAGGACATCACTTAGATACTCGCCGTTGTGGTTCCCGTCATTCGCCGACTCGATCGGGCTGCCTAGAAGCCAGGCATGTGTTCCTTCGGGGTTTGTTGTGCAGTAGTGCCAGCGGTAGTTGGGGCTGTAAAGGTCCTTCCCGTCGGCAAGCTTCTGCCATCGCAGTGTATCTAGCTCTAGACTGGACAAACTTGTCTCGCAACTCAACTCTGCCGGGGTGACGAAATCGAGCATGCAACCGGATGAAAAGATGTGAAAATGCGTGCCCGCCGCTTGAGATGGTAGGTTCGGACTGGAGTGAAATTTGAGAGATGAGATGGAGCCAGGCGCAACGTAGGGTGAGCGACTTGAACCCATGCCATGATATGACTGGACGCTCGAGTTTGCAGTATAACCACTGCTTCCGGTCGCAAGTTGACCAGACGCTGGTACAGGGTAGCGATGTCGGGACGAGATGAGTTGCCGGTCGCCTGTTCCATACTTCATGGCGTGATCGAACTCCGGGCTGCCGCGGAGATCGAGCCACCAGATCTCGTTGCTCTTCTCCATCTCGTCGTTGATGCCACCAAAGATCCAGATGCGACCGTTCCAGATCCAGCTGGCGTGATCGTAACGAGGAACGAATCTCCATGTCCGGGACCAGGTCCACGTCTTGAGGTCGAGATAGCAGATGTCGTCTAGTACACTATCATGCCCAGTCTGACCCCCGCTGATATATAGCTTATCGTCGTATATGACGGCTGAATGCCGAGCGCGACCGCGAGGTATTGGGCCATGGAGTTCGGGCTGCGTCCAGTGGGCGGTCTTCAGGTCGAATACGATGACGTCGGCGAGGTGTTGACGGTGCTCATTCTCACCACCGAAGACGAGCAGTTTGCTGCCCTGCCAGAGACATGCGGTATGTCCTAAAGCGTCATGTTAGTTGCGACGGAAGTAGCATTGGTAATAGAGCGGTGAGCACGTACCCATTCGTACGCCCGGAATGTCTCCGTAGTTGTCAACCAGATTCCATTGTCGGGTGACGAGGTTGAGGCGGAGGACGTGGTTGTACACCTCGTCGGTATACTGGTCGAAGCCTCCAAAGGCGTATATCTGATCATCGCCAACATAAGTGACAGAGGCATTGACCAGGCAGGCGGGCTTGGCGCCGATTGTCGAAATCATTTTCGGTTTGTAGCCTTCGACGGCTGATCTGCGGCTCCGAACGGGGCTCGCAGACATGAGGAAAGTGTTGTTGGCAGAGCTGGCGGATCCCGGCGTGTTGGAGTGGGAGTGGCTGGGCGAGGGTGTAGAGGTGACGGCGGGGTTGAGGATGTTGGACGGGAAAGCGGATCGAGCGGATGTTTGTGCCATGGATAGTGAGCGGTGAATAGCGTGGTCTGGTTCGTGGTAGCAGCCCCGGTGGGCAGAGGTGGCCTTTGTCTAGGCTGGGAGAATGTTTGACGGAGGAAGTTGAGTTGGCTGGCCGTGCATATTGCCGCCCCTCACCGCCCGAGCCTGGAAAGCGGAAGCGCCGACCCACGACGACTCAGCCTTGTGCCCGAACGGACAGCGCGAGCCACTCCGAGACTTGGCCACTGGACAGCTGCAGCAGATTAATGCACCACGGCGGATGCTGGAATATGTGATTAGTGAGTGGCTGTGCAATGGTGATTAACTGAGAGACTGCTGAACTGTGTCGCAGTCTGGCACGAGAGCAGACGCTATAACGCCATTGCCATCATGGACGCAGCGGTAAAAGCAAGGTCATGCAGGCGGCGGCATCGACGCGACGACGATGCATGCGGCTTCACATACCGGATAGACTACGATGCCGGCGAGGGTCGAGCACCGTCATGTGATGTCATGCGTCCTGGTCGTCCGGCCAGCCTCGCGCAGGGTCCCGTCCTCGTTACCTGGTCAACGCAAGCGTAAACAAAGGATACTTAAACGCCCCCATACCTGCCACTCTACATATCCACTACCACGCACTCTACCATCCGCACTGCCCTGCATCTTCTTCTCCAGAGCGCGAATCACTCAATTACTTTCGAATCAATACTTCACAGCATCGATTACAGCATTGTCTAATACTAATCCTTACACCATATAGCAGAACCCAACCCACATACTGTATGCCACCACGTCCTGTGTACTAAGAATCTAACTAACCCTAGTCCAGTAGGAGACTAGCTAGCAGTCATGGCAAGCACCGCAGTCTGCGTGACTCCGGTCAAGAAGCGCTCTGCCGTCTTCAACACCCGCACCGCCGGCGGTCGGATGCCACTGACGCCCTCTCCCCGCACCCCGCGCACCCAGACTCCCGATGTGCAGGCACACGAGTCAATCCATGGCAACGACTTCAAGTCGCGCATCCAGCGCTCCGTCACCAAGACGACGCGCGACTCCCCCAAGTCCAACATTGCTCGCTCCCACACACACACTCCCCGCCGGTTAGAACTCGGTGTCTCAGAATGGGCCCTCACTGGCTCCGGCACCACTGCTGCCACCAAGGCCAAGAAGGAGAAGAAGGAGGCGGCTGCCATCCGTGCTCGCCCTACCAAGACGCGCATTGCCTACAACGCCGCCGACCGCTTCATCCCCAACCGGACAGCAAGTGAGGCCATCCGCAGCGTCGGTGCCAGCAAGCTCGACGCCGAACAGCGCCCCAAGTCCAGCTCCAAGAAGGAGGGCTCGACCGTGCTTGCCAACGCCGCAAGTGCTTTCGATCTCGGTGGCCGTGGTTCAGAGGAGGATGTCACACTGTCCCTCGAGGGCCTGAGCCTTGAGGACGACGAGGAAGAGAGCCGGTCGCGCTCCAAGCCAGCTCCTAGCCAGGCTGCATACCAGTCCACACTAGCCTCGGCATGTGGCATCAACACAAACACTCGCATTCTTGCTTTCAAGCCTGCGCCGCCTGAGTCGTCCAAGCCCATCGACCTTCGCTCCCAGTACAACCGTCCTCTTAAGCCCAGCAGCAGCGTCAACGCACAGAGCCGCCGTCGCATCCCGTCAGCACCCGAGCGCGTCCTTGATGCTCCCGGTCTTGTCGATGACTACTACCTCAACCTTCTCGACTGGTCTTCCGGCAACCAGGTCGCTATCGGTCTTGAGCGCTCAGTCTACGTCTGGTCAGCTGACTCCGGGTCGGTCGCTTCTCTCCTCGAGTGCCCCGCCGATACCTACATCTCTTCCGTCAAGTGGTCCGGCGACGGTGCCTACGTTGGTGTCGGTCTCGGCACGGGTGAGGTCCAGATCTGGGACGTTGAGGAGCAGACCAAGCTGCGTAGCATGTTCGGTCACGAGACTCGCGTTGGTGTTATGGGATGGAACAAACACATCCTCTCCACCGGTGCTCGTTCCGGCCTTGTCTACAACCACGACGTCCGCGTCGCTCAGCACAAGATCGCTGAGCTTGTCTCGCACACTGGAGAGGTCTGCGGTCTTGAGTGGCGTGCCGACGGTGCCCAGCTTGCCACTGGTGCCAACGACAACATGGTCAACATCTGGGATGCGCGCGCGCTCGCTGCTCCCAAGTTCACCAAGACCAACCACCGCGCTGCCGTCAAGGCCGTCTCATGGTGCCCATGGCAATCCAACCTGCTTGCCACCGGCGGTGGTTCCAACGACCGTCAAATCTACTTCTGGAACACCACCACTGGTGCCCGCATCAACCACATCCCCACCGACTCCCAAGTCACCAGCCTTCGCTGGAGCACCCACTACAAGGAGATTGTCAGCACTGGTGGCTTCCCCGACAACAGCCTGAGCATCTGGAGCTACCCCTCCGGTGTCAAGAACATGGAGGTCCCCGCTCACGAGTCTCGTGTTCTCCACAGCTGCCTCAGCCCTGATGGTCAGATGCTCGCCACCGCTGCTGCCGACGAGTCTCTCAAGTTCTGGAAGATCTTCGAGAAGAAGCCCGGTCAGCCTTCCGTTGCCGCCGCCGGCTCTGCTTCCATGAAGCCCAGCGCGACTAAGCAGATGACTATCCGCTAAGTCTGCAATCGTCAATGGAGCCCACATCAAGAGGATACGGGTTCAGAAGGAGCAGTATGCTCGACAAGGATCACAAGTGTCTAGCACGGACATCAACTACCGGCTTGCGCAATGGAGCTGGTATCATTCATCCGACTCTACGCGCAACGGTAAGTTGGTAAGTAATCACATCTCGTATTTGGGTATGTGACGCGATCCTCTTCCTCATTCACAGGAAAAGGAATCTCCACATCTACCCTCGGAACATCTGTCAAGCGTACAACTGGGTCTCATCATGGCTTTTTTGTCCATTCAGCAAGCGAGGCGTCTCGGAAGCATTGCAAGGCGTTGAAATTAAAGAACTGGCTTTTCGAGCGTCCTATGGACAACGAGGTTCATGATATTTACGAACATTGGGAAAAGACGGACTCGGTCTGTTGTCTTTCGAGGGAGTTTTTGTATTTGTACATTCACCGCGCCTTGATGCGCTTGGGATTGGGACATTTGGGGGCTTGGGAAGGCGTTCGATCTTGAATAAAATGGAAACATTACAACATATGAACTTTCGTTGACTTTGCTACTTCTGGTGACTTCCCATGTCTCTGCACAATGCGTAGATAATTCAGTTGAATCATCTGATCATCTCAGCGGCCGAACTATCCGTCGATAAGACGAGTCGCATAACTTCACATACCCATCGAGCTCTTCTGCCTCACCTTTCACTCTGGAGTCGGATTGGCACTTCACGTACATAAGCCTTTCCTTACATTTCCAGACCGTTTGGATCCAACAAAAAAACAACTCAAGCAATCCAATCCAACCAACATAATGAGCTACGAAACCCTCCCATCCATGCCAGGCGCATGGCCATCCGACGACACAGACCCCACCTCCCCTCTAACCTTCACCCTCTCCGACTTCATCTCCGCCACCAGCATCACGCAAACCTACATCGAAACCACACTCCAGCAATCCAAATCCCAAGTCTGGCTCTCCGAAACCATGACAAACATGACGCTGTTCACCCATGCCGAGGAACTCGTCGAGAAATCAGTGGCGTATGTTAGCTACATCGCTCCCTACATCGGTTTCTATTCAGAAGACCAGTTCCCGCCTCCGCTGGCCGATGGGGTCATACTGTCTTATACTTTGGAGGAAGTAGGGTTGCTTCGGGCGATACTGCGGTATTCGCGGGAAACCGGGATGCACGACGATGCCGTCATGACGCTGCAAGCTTTCAAGGAAGGCATGGAGACATATCAGCTCACAAAGAGCATCCAGGGGCTGGTTGCGTCGTATCTAGAGTTTGGCAATGCGAATGTGGACGAACCACCGCAGATCTGGGAGACGCCTGAGGTGTATGCCCCTGCTTTTGTGGATTCTCTGGCTACTGTTGAGGTCGAGACGGCGATACGAGACGATGTCCGTTGTCCATTTTGTTGGGGTGCTTTTGGTGCGGGGGAGGATGGGTGTTGTGGGGTTATCAAACAGGTGGGGTGCTGTGGGAAGCGGTTTGGAAGGGATTGTCTTATTGAGGCTATGTTGGGGAGTCTGCTGTGTCCAAATTGTAGGAGGGAGTTTGCGGTTAGGCGCGTTGAGGATGGAGAGAATGCTTAGTATGTAGGCTGGTAGCGAGGATAACCATGAAAGGTACCTGCGGTATCTTAGTGTACAAGCTATCTCAAAATGCCTGTTCACTTCCAATATCTAATCCATTCGTTTTCCAAGTCCGTCATGCTGTCCTTGAGGATGGCCGCTTGCATCGCCTTTTCATTTGCTTTCGCCATCTCCACGTTTGTTATGCCCCAATCAATCTGCATAGATGTTAGTCACCATCGTTGCCTCTCACGGCGACATGCCAGCCGATTTAGTACTCACCGGCGGTGCACTCCAGCCACTGACAGCCCATTGTGTACTTCTGATTCTGGCCTGCGACTGCGCAACAATCGTCTGATTCCTGTGCATTCTCTCCTGCGCTTTCAACTGCTGAATTTCCTGCTTCATACGCCGAAGCTGAATCTCAATTTCCTGCATCTTGTTGTTTCGTGCCATGAGCTTTTGGCGGAAGGTGGAGATGTCGTTTGTACGACTTGCGTCTGTGAAGTAGGACTGGAGACGTGGTGAAAATAGATCGCACAGGAAGCCTCCGGATTTTGCCTCCTGCTCCTCAAGCTGCGCAAGGATTGCTGGTTGGGGTGACTGAGAGTAGAGAGGTTCGATATGTCTGAGGTAGCACTCTTCGCAGGCGGTGAACTCCGGAACCGTAGAAGGGAAACTGTACTGCTTTTGGCCTGAGACCAATGTCCCTTGTTGACAGGCAGGAATTGGACCCCATTTCTTGACGAAATCGATCAGTGGTGTGATGTCTCGTGTCTTCGTTTCAAGAGTACTTTGCGCAACGGCGGCCATCTGATCAACAATCTCAATACACCGCTGTTGGCCATTTCCCTGCGTCATTAGATCGCAGGTAGCGAGAAGCCTTTGCCCGTTTGCAATCGGTGCAAATATGCGCTTCAGGCAGGGAAAGAGGACGTTTATGTGCGCCACGCAGAATGAACAGGCTGTCATCTCTTCGATCAGCGACCCAGTCTTTGGATCTTGCAGACAGTACCACGTCCTAATGACTTCTGGCCTTCCTCCATTCTTGACCACTGGATCCTCCATGTTGAAGTTCGGGCAGATGCCATCCCTGTCAGGATCAATGCTACTGATTTCGCCCAGTAAGCTCAAATCAGGTTGTCCCATTTGGAACAACCACATATAAGCTAGTCTCACCCACAGGAACGAGAAATCGCAGACAACAGACATCTTAGCTGGTTTGGCGGGACCGGCAGATATGAAGGATCCATAGCGAGTGTTGCGGAAGGATGTGTTGTAGCAATCCGGACAAATGTCGAAGTTGGGGATGGCCCTTGGCGATTTGATTTGCAGCCAGTCATTATGACCTTGCGTGAAGTTTGATCGTTTGCATAATCCAAGGGCTGGGGGTTGTTTAGTCTGCGGGGTTGCTGATTCTGAGGATGGTCGAGGTGGAAGGGGTGGGGGCCGAACGAGAGGCATGACTCGTGCGGGAAGTCACCTTGGTGACTCGAGTATTATGAGAGCGACTGGTAAGAGACTCGATTGTGAAAGAGAGAATTCTTTACTGCGGAAGACAGCTCACGTTCTTTGCTGTGAGCGCGATTACCTCTAGGCTACAAGGTGACTGGTCTGCCGAGGCTTTCAGCTGAAGAGGCTGAAAGTATCGTCCGAATACGATACCGGTGAAAGCTCGCCCCGCAACGAGCGCCCAAATGAGGCCATGAAAACGCCACGAACGTCGGACCTTCTAAATGCGTTGCGTATCAAATTGAATTGTGCATCGTAGAAGCGAAAGGATCGACAGGCTGCGGCCCATCGGGCTGAGATGGAAAGTATGGTTATCGATAGCAGTCCATGGCCCTAAGTGGTCAACAAGTATCGCAGCAATGTATACCAGGCGTAGAGAGCATCGGTTGTAAATCTGATGACTTTGCGCGAAAGTTGTGGCTTGAAGAATGGTGGAAGATGCAAGATCTCGACAAGAGGTGTCTGAGCCGAGCGGCTGGTAACATCACCTCATTGGCTGACATCTCGCTTCCCCTTCACCCATTATCAAGAGTGTAGACGGCTAGCTCGAGAAGACTTGTGCCAGATCATATACATTAGACGAGCGTACACTGCCGACGTCGCAATCAGTCAAAGACCGGTCTTGCTGATGGTACATGGTTTGCATTACCATGCGTCTGGCAAAGAAAGGTGGCAGAAAGACGGTACGTCTCTTTGTGTGAAGTTTGGAGTCGTTGGATGTAACTCCGACGCACATGCAGTAGACCCAGTCGTTGATTCAGATCATGTAGCGAGAGATATTATCACACCACGGGTTTTATCAATATGCTGTCGCGTTTGTTGTAGCTAGGAGTACACCCAACGAATTTGTGTAGCGGCAGGTATGTTTTCCCTATTGTTGTATGTAGCGTACACTCGTATGGGAGAGCATCTGCGTTGCAATCGCATAAGCGAATGTTGATCGGGGCTTACTACGACATCTGGCACCATCAGGCGAGACTTGTTGTGTGTACACTCGTTGGTGATGGTCAGAGGCGTGCAATCATGTTGTCCAAGATGTGGTGCAACATTGAGCCTCCTTGTTGCCGCACAGCGTCAGTCGCACAGATTCATTTTGTTTGCCCAAGGCAGACTGTGACAAATCGTGTGTTTGACTCTGAGGCGTTGGCATGCTCGTTTAGGGCTGACGTGCGCCGCAAAGCACCTCATGGGTTGCAGAAGCGCCCGGCACGGGAGGGAGTATTCCAAAAGCTAAGCCCCTCGGAGATTTCATGCTGTGGATAGCGTCACGGGTAGAATGGTGGCTTCGAATTCTTTCATCGCGATTTGCGTTACCTTTTGAGCGGTGAGGACGCCCATGTTGGCCTAAGAAGCCAACAACGGTCTGGTTTAGTATTGAGGAAACGGACACTACGAAGGGTTGCTTTTTCGAACGACGCCCAGGACAAGAAAGGGCGCTCGGCTGATCCTACTATTGTGTCTTGTGCATCTACAATAGCAAACCTAAAGAGCCCTTTAGTCTTGGGTACAACCGGGGAAACAATGAGCTGCTTCGTACCAGGCAATCCAGCTGTTGGTGGGATGCACAACACTTCAAAGGCCAATGTACCGGCCCTTATCCGAGCAGTTGTGGATTGAGACATGCGCATAATTGCCATTGTTGGTGGACTTGGCATAGGAATTCTTCTTCCAGCACGATATCCAGGAATGAACGCCCGCTTTTCGGGTAGCCATCGTACCAGCATCCTGGGATATCGCGTGGCAGTCGCTAGTAGGGATCGCTTTCAGGCCACCCAGTATCATGACTCCGGATGCACCGGACTATCTGAATGCCATTATCCGAATAAGTCTAGATGTCGTTGGTGGTGGGGAGGTTTGCCAAAGAAACGATGAGAGTAAGCGCCGATAACGTGAGAGCGGGGTCGCTTCGGTTGGGTGTATACACAAAAGCTATCGACGCAGAGTGGGGCACCGAGTATGTTAGACACCTTCTTCAAAGCCATGCCATTGCTCATCGACTATTGTAGCGTGCCCTGCGCATGAAACTGTGTTGGTTCCAACGTCGCCGATATACTCAGCATTTTGCGTAGTTGGCGTCGAAAGGCACGTTCCGATCGGCTACAGACCTGTGTGCATGAGTTATGCAGGCCGTAGCTGCAGCCTCCTGTCAGTCATCTAAGAGATAGTACCTGTCGGTTAGACAAAGGCCGAAAGAATGTCCTGTGCTCCACGGCGCTTATTAGCAAGCCGCCTTGGGCGCGGCTAATGTCAAACGCGGAAGCGGCGCAGGTCGCACGAAGAAGGGCAGCTGGTGCGATTGTCAAGGTGGACATGGACCAGGTAGCTGCTTGTAGGCCAGACTAATGGAATTATCGAAGATACGCGCGGCGTGAGCTGTGGTAGGTTGGTGGGAGAAAAAATTGTATGCTTTCGTGTCCCAGTCGAAAAGTTGGGGATTCGATTGGCCAATCTAAGCATCCGAGCCCATGGTAGCCGGGGACGCTGATACGCTTGGGGAATCTGGAGATGAACTAGTGGAAGAGCGATACCGATGACGATCCTACAAATTTAGCAAGAAGAGGCTCTTGGGATGCCATGTGTCGACGGACCGTTGCGAGCAGGAAGTCATCACACCACGCAGGCCTTCATTTGATGCAAGGCCGCCACGTCGATGTCGATGGGGCCAGACTGGAGACAGAGCAAACGGTAGGAGGGCACCGTGACTGTGCCGCACACTTGTGCTGTCTCCAAGCACCTGATGGAGCCTTTTGAGGAAGGGTGCATTAGCGTCTCAAGGAGGCCTGGCCCTAGTCGTCTGCAGCAACGTTCGCCATGCGAGGAACTAATGCTGGGTGAATAGATGATGCCAAGGGGCTGCTTACCTACACCTTGGAGGGCCGCGCAGCCGTTTGCTTTCCGCGGGACGGCATCAGGTAGGACAATGGATCGGAGGGGTTCGCACCAGCAGACGGAAGAGGGAGCCAGGCTGGTAGCGATGGCTGTTCTAGAGGATCCAGTGTCGTGTCTCTGGCACGCACGGCGCGGGATCGCTGACCATGCCCGCCATCTAGCGTGGGTTTGGGCGCTTAAGCTGCAGTGCATCCCTGAAGCTTAGCAGCACCCAGGGCGGCGATTCGTCTGCGGCGCCCAGCGGTGGTGGTGAACGGACAGGTGTTGTAAGCGGGCGTAGTGCACGGGCGGGCGAGCAGTTCGCTGCTGCTGCTAGGTAGACGATTGACGCCGCCTGCCGCCTGTCTGCGCTGAGAGTCTCCACCGAGGCAGAGTCGCAGTGTTGAAACAAACAACGACACCTCTCTGCACCAAGCACCTTGAGCCTCTTCCCGGCAGCTGGCCTGCTCTGATAAGCCTCGTCCCGTCCTTCTTTCCTTAGACGCAAGCGCTCGCCCGCCGCCCACCCTTTTCGCGCCTTCCCTTCTGATTCGTGACCCGCCGCTCAGCCTCGCCAACCCCGTCGTCTGAGTGATAGGCAGCCCATCGCGAGACCACGCGCGATTGTTCCTTCCCACCGCAGCGTAGATCCGGCGCAGTCCTGGCGCAGCCTCTGTTGTGCCTTCCTCAAGAGCAGCGCGAGGCATGGCAACCGCGACGCAGCTCATGCCGTCACCGAGTGGCCTGAAGTCCATGTCGGCATTCAGCCCCTACACGGACTCGCCCAGCTCACCGGGCACCTTCGCCCACGTCTTCTCAAATAGGTGCGACGCCCTCGCTGCGAGAGCATTGGCGACTGCCCGCTAACATGGACTCCCCAAGATCCTCAGGGCACACGTCCGACCACCTGCAACCACCGCCCAGCCCGTATCCGGCGACCGTCGACCCCTCGCCCGTCGACAGCAACGGCACAAGCCATACCGATCACACTGAGGTACGTCGCGTCGTGGGTGGATATACGAACGCGCGGGGCTGACCCCACTACAGATCGAAGACGATGCCCAAGTCAATCACCCAAGTGCAAGCGAAGATGGCATGAGCGATATCAGATCGCCGGGCACTGACGACATTGTGAGCCCGGCGAGCCAGGACGGGCCCGCAAAGGTATCATGCCAACCCTCCACCGCACCTGCCTGCAGTCATCTAACCTGTGACAGCCCCATACCCATAAGCTCAACACCGCCGTGCGCAGGGCTGACTCGGACGATGCCCCGCCGTCTGTTATCCATGCGCCCGACACCTTCAAGCAATTCGTGAGTGCCCTTCTGTTATGGTTGCACTACATGGCTGACGTGGGAACCAGAACCAGAACCGGATGACGTCTGGCGGGTCGTCGAGCGCAAACACGTCAGATAACACCGCTGTCGTATCGCCGTCAACGCCTGAAGCCAACATGCTTCCGGATGTCGAGGACAAGCACACATCTTCTGCCTACACTACGCCCATTGATACCGCCGTGTCCAACTCAGTTACCGACCGCAGTACGCCGCGTGCCCAGACAAGACAGGATTTCGAGGAGGACTTGAGGCGGCGCAGCGTTCGTAAAAGCGTGAATCTCGCGGGTACGTTTCCGTGCATATCGGGAGGCACACGCGCTAACATGCACAGATATCGCCGAGTACGACGACCATGCTACCACTGATTCTTCTGCAAGCTCCGTCATCGAACAGGATGACAGCCAGTCATCACAATCGCAAGACGGCGAGTCCATGTCCATCGGCACTCAAACGATGGGTCAGGCGATCCACGGCATTCAAGAGTCAGAGAAGGAAGTGGCGGCCCTGCGAAGCGCACTGGACGAATGCTGGACACTCTGCAACTCGCTGGCCAAGTTGAGCCAACACCACAGAACACGCATGTTCCACTACTCCGGTGGAAGTCCTGATATGCAAGAACATGCCTGGAGAACGTGTTGGCGACTTTGCCAGAAGCTCTACGAAAGTAGAGAGGAGAACCCCTCCACGCAAATTCGACCAACACTGGAGCTTTGCCGCGACTTTTGTCAGGCACTATTCGACGTGCGTCAACGCGGCGATGAGGCTTCTGATTCGGTGCTCAGAGTCAGCTTTGAGCTGAACAACCATCTCTACAACGCACATGATCGCACGCTACCCGAGACATTCCGTGAACGCACTCTGGATTTCTACCTGACATTATGCCATCGCTTGATGAAGCAGCGTACTTCTCTTCCAGAGGAGACCGATTCACTACTCCACGCATGCTGGTCGCTGGCAGAAATGCTTTTTAGTCTCCGCCAAAACAGCCGGGATGGCAAGCCAGCCGACGAGGAACTGCTGGGCTCGGCAATTCAGGCGTGTTGGGAGTTGTGTGACTTGTTCCGTGAAGGCTGGACACAAGTGCGGCCTGATCGCGGCACTCCACGACCCACTCAGTATGCCTTCTCGGTCGGTCGCAGTTCCATGACACATCGCTCCCAGACTGCGTATTCGGAACGGTCTGGGCGATCCTCCAGTGTCAATGAGTCGTACCATTCAGCCATTCAATCGAGAAATGCGACGCCAATGCAGCCAGAGACACCAACAACCATCTTCGATGACCGCGAAGAGTTCTCGCCCGCAGATGAGCCCAACGTGCCAAACATACTTGTTCTCGGCCCAGAAGCTGGCATGACGCGGACTCATGATCGTTGGTCATCCGCTTCCTCCAACCTTTCCACATACTCTGACGCCTCACAACACACTTCCTCTACCGCCACCGCTGGTCGAGAGGATGCCAACCTGGTCCGCCTGAAAGGGCTGATCATCAAGGCAGCCATCAACACAGGCTACAACCGCCAGATCCCCCTCCCAGACTTTATTCGTGCCTTACCGTCCAACAGCTTCGGCGCCGAGACGTGGCAAAGTCAATTGTTCGAGAGCTACCGAAAACTTGTTCTTGCAGACCCGACACTACGAAGCGTTCACACTCAACCACTCCGCAGGCTGACGGCACTTGAGATTGGACGATCGGTGCAATGGCTGGGCCGCAGCGAGTCATTCAAGTGGCTGCGCGAGCTCTATCGCTTCGTCTTCGGGGCCTATCCTGAAGATACCAGTCAGCGCAACCTCATAATCAACGCCTAACGCACTTAACGCATGGACCTTTTTCGTTTCGGATCTTGGACGCTTTTTCAGATCATGGGTGTTATTTGGATGGGCACTTTTCTTCTATTTCCGCCATATACCCCCAACGCTCTCTTCAGTGCGCGTATCATTCGGTCCCAGCATAGTTTCATCGCATGTTGTAGATTACGGATCCTGCATATTCGCTTCTGTGTATACCTTCTTACTATCTCTACTGCTCTCATGACGCCTATTGCCAAGTTTACGACTTTGATACTATATACGAATAATAACCCATTCTTACCGACGCGACCTTGGGAGTGTGAGTGCTTTCTTTATTAATACGTAACCGTCTTCATTCGGGGGCCACGATAGGAGCTATCGCTTTTCCCATGCACGTCTGTCTGTACGCACGGTCCTCTCTACCACCTAATCCACGCCCGCTCTCGTCGAGCTTCCTTGTTCTCTCCACCCCAATTACGACGAACCGCTCCCACATCCCGAATTGGACAATCGATACCAACAACCTAGTAACTGGTGGGTTCGCAGCTCGCTGCCGCTGCGACACATCACTCTCGAACTAACACTGCGAGGCCTTCCTACATTCCTACCACTCGCGCGGTCATGCGTATCGCCGCACCGATTCGGAAAGGCCCATCGGTACCACAGGACTCGAGCACCCCGTCTTTCCTCACTATACTTCCGCCGGAGATTCGCAACGCAATCTACGAATACGCATTTGTGTTGCACGATGAGCTTGTTATCATCGACGCGTATGAGTACACAAGGCAGCCCGTCTGGGAAGAAGAATTCGACGATTTAGATTCCGAAGAAGATTCCGCTGATGTTGAACGGATTCAAGAGCATGCGTTCGCTGTCCGAGATGTTCGTCTTCCCATGTCACTACTGCGCACTTGTCGACAAGTCTACCACGAAGCCGCAAGTATACTTTACGGGCGTCAAAAGATTCGCATTACGGTGGCTCCACATCGCCATAACGGAAGCTTCCGCCAATTACGCACCGCTGTGAGATGGCTTCAGAGTATTGGCTCCCAATACAAGCTCTTGACTCGACTTGTCATCGACACTAGCGCACTCTGTCCGGATGAGTGTGACATAGCTGGCAGGACAAACTGCGCACCAATCCTTAAAGCTTTATGGCTACGTCCTGGCCTGGAATCTCGCGTCGAGTATACAAGATCAGGAATCGAAATCGATAAGAGAGTACATGAGCCCTATTTGGGATTATCATTCTTGGAGTCAACCTCGGCAAGTATCGTTGGTGAGATAATCGCCGATCTCAGTACCAAAGATGAGCTCGGTCTTAGACGCTACGCTGGCTTTGGTCGTTTGATTCGCTCCATCTGGGTTGATGGAGACGACCAGTACGGAATAGTCAACTTTGCTTCGCCAGCCGATATTTTGCATTATCATGAGGATAAGAACGCGTATGAGGTCGGAGTCTCTTCAAGGGACTTTGTACGCAGCAGTAACGACGGTCGCTTAGTCTGGGGTCCTACACGTGAACAAAAGTCATCCAGATTGAAGCAGTTACCATGGACGGTTCTCAAGACTATTATGCGGTACACTGTTCCAGGTACTCTAGATTTCATCGTCTTTGATCTTGACGATTGAACTACACACGGGTTGGGTCTCCGTAACTTCGCTATCGACGATGAATGAAGACGAGGATTGATACAAAATCAGGAAGAGATGAGAGCTCGCCATGCTGGTATCAGAGAACATCGGCGCAAAGCAACCCTAGTGTCGGACTACGAAACCTCCTTGTCTGCTCTTTGGATAAAATGGAATGTCGTCGAGTTGTCTCAGTCGTGAGTTCTGCTGGCGGATACAGAGGTATCTTGTAACTCTCTCCTTCGGTCTGGATCCCCACGTCTGTCTCACAGGTATCTCAATACCTATATTGAGTCACGTAATGAGTACATCAGTAGCGGGTAGATTTCTTCGACTAAGCTGCTTACCAGCTCTCGACCGAGTACAACGCTATTGCATCCCACTCTCTACCTAGGTCCCCATCCCCATCCACCGGCACCCATGTTTGGCGACTTGTACTTATCCCACTGACCTCCTCCATGCCAGTGATCTGTATCCCGATTTACGCCGCTAGCATGGCCCATATCATTGAACCATCTAGTTTGGGTGCCTGGAAGAGTAACTTTGCCATGTGCATCGGGCTGTCTGATGGGTGCGAGAAGACGGCCGTTATTGGGAAGCTCATGCCGGGGGGTACTGCCGTATTGCGACCACAACCGATGTTCGCCTCGTTGGGGATAGGGGTTGTCGGGCATGGTTTGTTTGGCGTACGTGCTTGTAGGTAACTCTTGAGGATGGTAGTGAGAGGCGACGTGGGACAATAATATGTAGATAGTTGAACGAATAAGTGTTGCTTTTGCTAATGTAGATGCTTGTGTTGAGCGTGCGATATGGCTTTTCTGTATGCTGTGTATCGTTGTTGGTGAGAATGCAAATGCATGCAGCTGCGGAGACTTTGTATCCTCAAGCGGTGATTGAACTTGCACTTGACGGGTCAGAAAGTGTGACAAAAGGTAGGGACAGCGTAGTCTGTCATGTTGAAGGGACAGCGTAGTCTGTCATGTTGAAGGGACAGCGACATGTACCCATAATTATACTTCACGACAGCGGATCGAGGAATGTATAGCTATTCTCAACGTTTGGTTGCATACATGCGCGCCTATTTCCATCCTTTTCTCCTCTCCTTCACAGATACCGCAAACAATACCTCGTACCGCCTATCGTTCACTCTCCGCATCCACCCATTTCTTCTCCTTCTGCTTCTCCTCGCGCATCAAAGCACTACCGCAGTCATGAAGACCCCTCGTCAATGCCTTGCGGTGCGATTGACTCAGCGATGACAAGTTTGCATCCTCTGCGAGCGCCTTCTTGAAGTAGTCTCTCATGTGAAGAAGCTCAGCACCCTGCCAGCTATCATGAAAGAGCCTCTCTCCTTGCCATGGCGGTCGCCGTGCGCGAAAGGCCTTGTCTTTTACTTTCCTCAAGTTAGCCTTGTTGTCTTGCTCGGCAGCAGCTTCCTCAGCTCTTTCAGTAAGCACCTCTTCTTTTTTCTCGGAGTCTACTTCCAGACCCGCAAACTCCCTCTGGAGCTGGTCAACAGTCGCCCAAGAGCTCTTGGAAAGACTGGTGTCATCTTTCTCGTAGCCCTCTGGACTCGCCCAACATGATGGCGTGTAGAAACGGGAGCTTCGACTGTAAGTGGGGCGCGTGCGGCTCCGCTCTATGACGGTGTGCTCATGGTGTGACATCGTCGTAGCTGGAGTGTAATCGCAAGGGAGGATGGTGGCTTGCGCGTCGATACTGACTGATTTGCGAGGGGGAGAAGCGGACTGTTGTAGAAAATCAGCCGCTAAGTTGACTAGAGGCAGCGAAAGAGATATCCTTACTTGTTTTGTGTCCCCTTGGAGTAAGCCTTTAGACCTGCTCACGGCTTGTGCGACAGCTACTGTGGTGGCGCTTCTACTGGTTTTGACGATCTTGTCGAAGCGGTTCCTGGGTGTCGACCTTGCATCTGCTAGCCTATTGTTGACTCCTTCCATCTCTTTTAGATTCATCTGATCGACATCTAGCGGTTCGTTGTCGTCTGAAAATGAGATCTGTTGAGACCTCCTCTTCCACCTGCGCTTGACCTTTTCCCAACTACCATCAGAATCTTCTTCTTCCTGGGGCGTAGGCTCCGAGACAGTCTCTATCACCGGCGATCGTGATGTCAATTTCACCTCTTTCGAACCGGGGTATTCTAAATATTGACAGCCAGGCACCTTCCAACATTCGTCTCTTGCTAGTTCCCAGAGATATAGTGCCTCGTCGACTCCCCACTCCTCAGCCATGTCGAAGTGTTCATCTCGTAGATTCTCCAGGGTCGCAACAAGTCTCCAACAATCGAGTTTTGCCCTCTTCCACCGACCGGTGCAATCCTTGTGTGACATCCAGCCTAGATCATCGATACCATTCGTACGTAGCTCTGGCCCTGCTTTTGAGGATTCGAAGATACCACCGCGGCGAGCTAACGCAAATGTCGCGAACTTTACTTCACCAATGCGAGCCTCTGTGATGCAGACTGCGCAGACTGAAAGTGCTGAGTCGGGGATTAGATTCGGTGCATAAGTATAGTTGTGCTCGCATGGTTGCCGCATTGAAGCTAGTGTCGAAAACTGCGAAGCCATGTCGACGCGATTGAGAGTTGTGTGCACCGGCAGTAATCCTGGCTCCGGCCAGTAAGTAAATCGTAGTTCTTCGTGAGGGTTCGATTGCGGCCAGCGGTCTGAGGGCGACAGTTGATGGTTCGCCTAGAGAGCTCTAGCGACCCAAAAAGTATGCGAAACGCACTCGTTCGAGAATAGGCGCCTAAAGTTGTTCAAGTCCACATCGTTAGAGAAAAGCTGTATATTTGTACCGGAGGTGAATAAAGAAAACAGCGAAGAAAGGGTCGTAGTTAAGAGATCTGTGGCAGCCGAAATGACATAGTAGGGTCCGACGGTCACTGTGAGCTGGCTGGACCGAGCTTCTCCCCTTCACTTGTCGCCAGGGTCCAGTCTGTGCCATTAAGGACACGCGGTCTCTACCATTGCAGATCCGATTGCTCGCTGTTTCTACTTTCTGTAGGCTTCTGAGGGGCGATGTTCAGAGCGGCCAGAGTCGAAAGGTGCGGATTCAGACGTTCTGCGTGAGCAGCTGACCCATTGTGAACAGCACAATGCGACACTGTCTAATCTGGTTCGTGCGGTATCATTGTTGAAAGCGTAACGCGCTCAGCCTGAAAAATGTCGTGTTGATGGCGATTTCGACAGAGACTTCCGCGAACGTGGCGCGACAGGTCCGGGACTCCGGGTTACGTGTTGGGGTGTCTGCGATGTGATGCCTCGCCATATGGCTTGCATTGCTACTGTCCTGCATAACCGATAGGATCTCCAGAGGCTTCGTCAGTCAGCATCTCGTCGCGAGATGGCTAGTGTATATACTGTTCAGTTGAAGCTTAGGGGCGCGCGTTGTGTGCATTTTTCAGGGTGCCGAAGAAACATGCTCAATCTGTCGCTGATGGATCCCGGGCGGAGCGGCCTTTCTCGTCCTCTACATAGCTGTTGTTTGAGGTGCAGAATACTGCTGTATGATATTCCGTGGAGAGTCTCAGTGACATTCAATCAGACATGACGAGCATAGCATGGACTGTCGCACTACTGTTGAAGTGTTGAAGATGCACTGGGAGACGGATGAGGGTTGAGTTCGGACGGGCCGGCAAAAGAGCGATGACGTTTACTGCTTGGCGCTAGCGTACGATGAGCTCCGTCGTTAGCACCTGCACCCGGATAACGCTTGTTCTTCCAAACACCTCAATTCTATCCCCATTCCCCTCCTCTCATACCAATTCGTCTCGCCATGTTTGCTAGACAGGTATTCCGCCCAGCAAAGACGCTGCACCAGGTATGTGCCCACATTTCCGTCTGATCTGAGATTACAAATCGCCAATGTCAGTTTTGGAGGTTGACAGAAAATAGCAAGTCCGCCGTTACGCATCTGAGGCGCCCAAGAGCGGCAACAATGGCATTCTCTACACGGGTATTGGCGCTGCCGGTCTCGCCGGTGCCTACTTGTTCATGAGGGGCGGCGACGCGCCGTCGGGGCAGAAGGGCAATGCGCCGCCATCAGAAGAGGCCAACAAGATCCCCTCTTCCACCGGCGCCGTCAAGAAGGCCTTCACTGGAGGCGACCAGGGTTTCGTGTCGCTGGCGCTAGAGAACATCGAAGTCGTGAACCACAACACCAAGAAGCTGCGCTTCAAGCTGCCGGAGGAGGACATGGAGAGTGGACTGCCTGTCGCATGTATGTCTATCAGCAGAATGTCTCAATCACCGCACATGCTGACTGAACATAGCGGCCGTTATTACCAAGTACAAGGGCCCCGAGATGCAGAAGCCAGTTATCCGACCGTACACCCCGATTAGCGACGTGGACCAGAAGGGCTCCGTCGACTTCATCATCAAGGCCTACCCCAACGGCCCCATGTCTCAGCACATGCACAACATGGAGCCAGGCCAACGGCTAGACATCAAGGGACCTATCCCCAAGTTCCAATGGAAGGTACGACCCTCCTCCATGTCCTAGTTGTGGAACAAGCACTAACATCGAATCCTCTTTCACAGCCCAACATGCACGAGCACATTGCCCTGATCGCTGGTGGCACCGGTATCACACCTATGTGGCAAACAGCACGACACATCTTCCGCAACCCCGAGGACAAGACCAAGGTTACGCTTATCTACGGCAACGTTTCAGAGGAGGACATTCTGTTGAAGCGCGAGTGGGAGGAGTTGGAGAACACATACCCCCAGCGCTTCCGCGCCTTCTACGTTCTGGACAACCCGCCTGAGTCATGGCAAGGCGGCAAGGGACATGTTACCAAGGAGCTCTTGAAGACTGTTCTGCCTGAGCCCAAGGAAGGCGAGAAGATCAAGCTGTTCGTATGTGGACCACCAGGCATGTACAAGGCTATCAGCGGAGGCAAGAAGAGCCCGTCCGACCAAGGCGAGCTTGACGGAATGCTGAAGGAGCTCGGCTACAGCAAGGACCAGGTCTACAAGTTCTAGACGTGTGTATATATAGAAGTGTACGATACCTGGTAGTATGTGCCATGGAACAAATTCGCAAGAGCGAATGTAGACATGCAAAGACGCGGTTTTCGCTTGTCACCCTGGCCCAACACTGCTTCCATATGATATTGCAAAGACAGCAAACGGCACTGTGGTCAAATCTGTCGGTCTCATAAACACGCTCGATACAAAGGGAAGAAAGTCATTTCCATCGTACTCTAATGTGTCAGCTTGGCTGACCATAGCATCAGTCAGTCTATTTCCGCTTACAGGTGATTGGGTCGGCGCCAGCAACCGTGGGGACCTGTCCTGATCAAATCGTGACGTTTGGAAACAATTCCAGACGGAGGATGTCTTGCAGACGTAGACAACGCCTGCTGCCGACATTTCCGTGCAACCAGAACCCAAACAAACATCTGTTGTTGCGTAGGCGCCCATTGGTCCAATTCATCGACGACTTGCAACTGTACCACGACCTCTACCTTCCACGAACCAGGCTTACTCAGCACTACTAGCACTGATCCCTCAGCCGACATAGACTGCGAGATGGGTGTGACAATATCCCACACAGCCTTCTCCCCACTATCCATGATATCGACCATCATCGGCTTCATCTCCTTCACCTTTACGCTCGCCACCCTACTCAAGGTCACCTGGTCGAATCTAGCAACCTTTAATGCCGCACCACAAGAGATCAAAAACATGTTGTCAAGCCTGAAGCAAGGACTGTTGGAAGAAAGAAGGCATTTGAGAAGAGTGAGAAAGAGACTGAGGAACGTACGGAGAGACCAAAGCCACGGTCCCAGCGCAAGAAGTGATTCCGAAGAGTACTACGGCAGTGGCAAGAACGGGAACGAGAGTCGAAAACGAAGCAGACGAGGGAGGGGGAGCGGCAAAAGAAGGACCATGCACTTCGACCGCGATATGCAGAGCATGCGCTCAAGCGGCGAAGAAGAAGCATTAAGCGTAATGCGCGTCACCATCCGCGACCTCATCCAAAAGTTCCGAGATCTCGAGTATCCCTTTCTGAAACCAGAACACCAGTCCCAGGACTCGGCGCAATGGTCTACTCAATCTACATCTCTTCCATCTGAAAAGTCACCATACGCAGCGCAATACTACCCGCACTCCGATGACGATGATTCTCCTTCAGCTAGGCACATGCGCAATAGTAACCGTCTGGGTCTGGAATACGCAAACTGCGATCTTCAACATCGTTGGTTGTGGGTGCGGAGGAAGGCTGATGTGATTAACCTTAGTACGGTGTTGAGTAGAGTGGAGGGTAGGCGGACGGCGCATGAGGTGGGTCAGGTGTTTAGTATGGTGTCGAATATTGGGAGAGATGTTGAAGATTTGAGGGGGGTGCTTGAAGGGGTGGAGGCTAGGTTGAATAGAGTTGTGGGGGTTAGACGCGTGGATTGAGATAAGAGAGGATTGGAAGGGACTGGGTTGGAGAGATAAGATACATCGTCCGGATGTACCATGGTAGACATGTTCGCTTCAAGCGACCTGTCCCATACGGGTTTCGCGCACATTACATCACTGACCCCGCCATTAAACGACTGGTGTCCTCCATAAGATACTCGCCTTCCCTCGGCTTCGCATGTACCAAAGCCCAGGAATGCAACTTCAAGGATCGAGAAGATCAAGCCAAGCCGTCGCCATGGACGATACCCAGAGTCCTCCACCACCCTACTCATCGACTCCCGGTTATTCATCCCACTATACCACCCCTATCAGCAGAGCCAGATATCTCAGTACCCAAGCAGAACGCAGAGGAAGTGCCATTCGCGTAGCATATTGGCTCGCACACGAAGGCGCTGGACCAGATGACCATGATGATATGTTCACTCAAGAAGACTCTGGATTGCAGGACGGACATTATGGCAACGGTCCCGAAGAAGAGGATGAGCTTTTGGAAGGCCAGCGTCCGGATGATGGAGTGCGTGTATTAAATGCATACATCGAGAATAACGAAGATGCACGTGGTTTCGAGATTGAACGGCGGAACGGCCTTGAACCGCACGGTACCCTTGACAAGACGATTGAACTGCGAGAAGGCCAGACTGAGATTCTACACGCTGGTTCCGGAAGAACACAGGGTCGGAAAATACATCCATTCGCACTATGCGCTCCCATACTACCGAAGCTGCCTTGTCGCCGAAAGAAACGGACCTGGTCAACGTGTATCAAACACCTCCTCAACATGAACCCCGGTTTCTGTCCCGGAGCTTTCGCTGTACGTCATGCCGAAACCAAGCCACTCTACTCGCCTCACGAAGATCAGCACAAGTGCCCACACTGTGGCATTTCAATCAAGCTGTCTTATCCCCAATCATACTATCAAGATTGGCCGACATATCAAGGACTTTCATGTTCCTTCATACTCGAATCACACCTACCGGCTAGCACAAACTATGGAGCTGAAAGGCGTAGCTGTCTGATTTGTTGGGAGTACGAGGGTGTATGGGTTGGAGCTATGGACGACGATGAATGGGGGAAGCATATGAGACGCCACTTTCAAGACGATGGGTATTGGGTTTGTGAAACTAAAAATGAAAAGAGATATATGATGAATAAAGGGGATTGTAAGGCAAGGAAGTGCAAGGCGGTACATAGCTGAGGTGAGAGTTTGTCACATCACTTGATTGAGAGTATACCTTGGAAGGGAAAGGGCACGTCAATTCAAGAAACACTGAAGATACTAGAGCCTACATCAATGTCAAACTACCTACCCTTTATGAGGTGGGGTCAAACTTTGGCATACACAACTGGTATGTCTAGCCTCCGAATGCTGATTTTGATCGTTATAGACGCTGTAACAAGGCTTCCTTCGCGTCCTCTCTATCTCTACACAATGTCACATTGTTCTACCCAACCTCTACTATACATCTTCACGGGTACCAACGACTGCGCTCACTACACAACCGCCTATAATACATTCTTTCCGCGTTCAACGCTCTTCACTAACAATTCGGCATATAAAGCCTTTCGTAAAACCTCCTCCTTACTCTCTACACTCCAACATCTAAAGCAAAAGCATACCATCAGCGTAAACAGGCTACCTGCAATCGACCAACACAACATACTAACCTCAAGCCCTATTACCCACCAAACTTAACAAAAGTGCCACGAGACTCCTACGAAGACTTGATAAATGAAATGAAGTACTTCAAACAATACCAGCAAGAACGACAGTTTCGTTACAGCGGCCAGCAAAACTTTCCTCGAGGTCCTCTGCCTGGTCCAAGATCACAGTTTCCTGACGTATTCCCCCAGGGCTCATCATCGTATGGGCCAAGAGGCTATCCCGGAGGAGGCGGACAGGGCTATGGTTGGAGCGCGACGGGGAGGTGGTTGGGGCCTGGACCTCCGAGGTAGATGAGAAATCGAGGGGTTGAAAGGAAAGGAGATGTGATGAGGTCTACATATGTGTAGGTCTTACTTGGACAGTGGAAAGAAAGAAGGATGCTTTGTTATGCAAATGATATCAAACTACATTAATCAATGCTTCTCGCGCTCTCAAAACTCGTTGCTACTGTGAGATTCTATCTATGTGGAGGTCGTTCTTTACTTAGCTTCTCTCCGGGACCTCCAGAAGCATTCCGACACTCAATACCTACAGTCATCCTCAACACGTCATCTTAGTCCTGTGAGGTTGCTATAACGTCTTCTTTGTTCACTCTGCTAGTAGGAATATTCAAGCAGGGGAGACACGTTGGATAATGAGCAAACGTGCTTCGAATAGTCAAGCATCGTATACAGCTTCATTGAATATCCCGACGTGTCCGTACGAACACAAGGCGCCGTGTCAAGTACTGTTTGAAGCAGCCCTTAATAACCTGACCCGAGTACGTGGAGAGCTACGAGCATACACATTGCTACATGTTTACAACACACCTTTCGCCAGCAGTGGTTGCGATTCTCATGCGCACTGCAATATTGAATGAAGACAGGCATATATATCGCCGCTGCGATGCTTTTCTAACCTTCTTCATATCGCAATCCACAGTACACAAAGCAAGCAACCAAGCCAGCATACAATTTACTCTATCGACCGAAGTCTCGTTACTCATACCCAGAAAGCAACCACACATAGCGACACCAAACTCACATTCAGCCACAGTACGCCTACCTTCCCAGGTAGCCTTCCAGCGACCAAAAAATGCCCATCAACCCTTATGAAGGCCGAGCTGCTTATCCCCGCCACAACCTGAGTGAAATGCCAAGGCAGGGTCTCAGACTTCCTCCCATGATGCCGGGAACCCGAGGGGATTTACGAGACTTTAACGGGCAGAGACGACTACCCCGTATGAACACGCGGGGCCAGATATGGGTGAGAGATCACAGGAGCATCATGGACGGCACTTGGAATTATGGTTGGAGGTGATGGAGTGATGGACTGTGAGGAGGCAGGAAGAAGAGAAAGGAATGAGTTCTGGACGTGTGGTGAACCGAGGAGGAGAATGTATGTAGCTTAGCTTGAATGAGTTTATACACACCTGCATTATCTAAATATCTACCCTTACGTGCTTCTAATCTGTTGATCCTGTCTTACCAAAATGTTACGTTGTATCTATTCTAAGAGCTGCCTGTCTAACCTAAAGTTGCCAACAAAGCAGCCCTCGGTGATTTCAATAAGAGACATGTAAAGCTGTTAACGTACACGTAGCTGCGACGTACCTCCCGCGAGCAGTCATCACTATCCTCTTCCATGCTGCGGTATTGAAGAAGCCAGGCGTATAAAACGTCGCGGCGATGTTTCTCTTACCTCTCTCATACCACAGTCCACAGTCCATAGTCCACGATACCCAAAGTAAGCCACTAAGCAATCATACAAGTCCCTTGATCTGCCAAAGCCTTTTACCCCATACCCCATCCCTAAACAACACCCACAAATAACTACCACCAAACAGCCATCAAGCTTCAGCACACCCATCTCGCAACCGAAGATGCCCAGTTCATACGAAGTACATTATCGAAGCGACAGACTATTTGAACTACCAAGGAATGCCTTCAGACTTCCTCCCATAATGCCAGAAGGGGGAGATCGCAGATATTACACCAGTAACCCGCAGCAGAGACGACTACCCAGTATAAACCCGCGGGGCCAAATATATGGTAGGACGTTTTACGGTGGTTCCAAGTATTGGCATTGAAAGGTTGATGGATCGAGGGATTAAGCATCATGAGGAAACGGGAAGGAGAGAAAGAGATGAGTGTTGGACGTGTGAGACAATGCGGAGAGAAGAGTGCATGTAACTAAGCTTGGGAGAGTATACACCTATTCTCTCAATATTTACTTCGTCGTACTGATGAAACGATGTTCCCTTCTGGCCTATATGTCGTGGTCATTTTACTTAGAAAGCTGCCTGTCCATTCATTAGTCGCCATTTACACCTTCCGAGCTCATCTTTGCAGCGAGGTATTTGCCCATGTTGTACAACTGTTGTACGAAGATGCCATGAACAAGGCCAGGTCATACCCGGCCCAGTCTCACTCAGCAAACTACGCGCGTTCCTTTCCTCAAGATCTGAGTCCATTCAGACTCCCTTGCAACTGCTCAGGCAGCTGAAACCATGCGAAACCTCATCCGCCAAGTACCCAAGACACGTCCTGCTCATCGTATCGGCGCGTAACAACCAAGAACGTGACAATGCAACGGCCCAATATACGACCGTCAATATACCCGTCCGGACCGTCTCAATCTACAAGAGGACATTCTCCGCGTTAGCGAAAGCGGAGAAAGGGAATGACGTCGTTGAGCAAAAAATCCATTGAGAGCGTCGTTCGGTAGAAAACCCATCGCAGGGTCTGTTCCGCCTAAACCGCAAAGGAGCGCAAGCCTATGCATCCCTGTTCTTACTGCCCCCCACAACCTTCCAGATGCGTGATCACAGCGGACGATGGGAATACCACAGGCCATGCGCCAGAAAGGCATTCTCATTCCTCCTCCAGATCAACAACATCACGCGCCCACTGCCACGCACGGCACCATGCATTCTCTCGCACACCCTCACACGCATACACAACACCCACCGCCACAGCTAGCGGTAATAATCGGCAGCAGCCGGTTCCAACCTCCGCCAAGAAGACCCTTTGTGGCTAAAGGCCCCCTTCGCGGCATTTTAGCAGCGAGCTTGGCAATAAGCTTAACAAGTTGTGCATGTGGCTCGTGATGTCTTGTGGATTTCTTGGTCGCCCTAGAGTGGGCCAGAGTGCTCCTGCGGGAAAGAGGGTCTTGCGCAGGCGTGCAGGGAAGTCTACGTCATTG